ACCTTAAAATATATTTAAATATATTATAATTAAGAAGGAATTTAAAAAATAGTAAAAAAGGTTACTAAATAATATAACTTATATATAAAAACTATAATATAATAATATAAACCTTATAGCCTATTATAACTACTAAAAGTAGTAAAAAGACTATAAAGTTTAATTATAATAGACTATATAACTAAGCTACCCTTATTAAAAGAACCCTTAACTAGAATCTTTTATAATAGTATCTTAATTATAGTAAATTAACTTACTAAATTCTCTTACTATATACCCTATAAGAAAGACATAGATATAAAACAACTTTCCTATATTTTCTATAATAAGATAATTAGAGAATATAAACTACTTTATAAAATCTTAATAAATAAAGGAATAATATTTATAAGTAAATTTTAGTAGGTATTAATATTATATATAGGATTAAATTACTAACTCTTAATAGCATTTAGACTATAAATAGATAGATAAACTAAATAAATAAATTAAGTATTAAAATAATATCTATAATATTATATTAACTATAAATAAAATAATTAGGTAGAAAAGTTATTAAGTACCTAACTTGCCTATAATATAGTATATAATAAAAGTATATAAATAATACCTTTAGAAGTAAATTTTAAATTTACCTTAAATTTATATTATATAGTATAAGAACTAAAAACAGTTAACCTAGCTACTATAATTAAAAGTAAAGATTTAAAGATTTTATATAAAGAATTAAGAAGGAAATTAAAATTTATTAAAAAATAAATAAAAAAAATACTATAATACTAAAAGGATTAAGAGACTAACCTTTTTAAAGGGAGATATAGTTTACTTAGCTATAAAAAATATTATAATAAAATAGCTAAGTTATAAATTAAATTATAAGTATATTAGGCTATATAAGATTAAAAGAAAAATCTTAAATAATAACTATAAACTAGACCTATTACTAAAAGTTAGGCTTTACTTAATCTTTTATGTTTTACTACTTAAATTAGTAGCTAATATAATATAGGTTAAGATTAGTAATAAACTAGAGGAAATTAAAAGACTAGAGATTTATAAAGTAAAGGCAATTAGGAAAATGCATAAGGAGAATAGCAGAAAAGAATATTTAATTAAATAGAAAAACTACTTAAAAAACGAAAATATATAAGAACTGGCTAAATACCTTACTAATGCCTAATAACTCCTAAAGAATTTCTACTAATATTAATAAAGAAAACCTTACCTTAATTAATAATATTAATAGCCCTTAATAATTAAGCCTTAATAATAATAAAAGACTTTATATTATTTAAAACCTTAAGATTATTTATAATCTTAATATTATAATAAAGTATTTTATTACTATATTCTTATAACTATTACTTTTAATAATAAAGATATATTAAATAACTTAAATACTTATTTACTTATTATTATAATTATAATAATTTAGTTTTAACTACCTCTTTTTTATATTCTAAATAATGCTTCTTTATAGTAAAATAATTAGCTATAAAAGAATTAGACTTAATATATAAAAGAAAGATAGAAAAATAAGTAATAAACCTTTAAGAATTAAAATACCCTTACTATTATATTAATAATTATAATAAGTATACTGCATATACTTAAAATAGCCTTCCTTAGCCTAATATTTTAAACCTTAAGGTTTATAATAACTATATAGTATAATAAGAAAACTAGTATTTTTAATTAAAATAGCTTATACTTAATAATTATAAGTAGCTTTAGATTCTAATATAGTATTAGTAACTTATATAGATAATTATAAATCTAAATTAGTATATACTAGGATAATATAAAAAGAAGGGCAGATATATAGGTCTTAAGGATAAGACTAATAAAAAGAAAAAGATTATATTATAACTTAATAAGGGGAAGCGCTTATATTATATATAACTTACTAATAAATTAGCTAATTATATAATAACTTATAAAGAAACCCTATAATACCTATAAGCCTTATAATATAACTTATAATATAAACTTATAACTTACTATAAGCCTAACTTATAATACTATAAGTTACTATATTATATATATATATTTATTTAGTAGTAAATAAAACTTAGCTTACTAGCTATTAATAAGACTTCTTTACCTTAATAAGCCTAATCTGCACTATTAACTATTAAGAGATGTAATACTTCGCTATTGCTTAGTATAACGCCCTATAATTCTGTAAATATAAAACCTAGTATAGACTAGTTTATTTGTTTGGAACCCATCCTGTTATAATTAGGGGAAATTTATAAGGTTTATATAATATAGTTATAAGGATTATAATATAAAATTTATAAGGATTTCTCTTATAGTTATATTTTATAAAAGAAATAGCTAATTTTATACTTATTAATTATAATATATTATTTATTAATAAATATTAAGTTTATAATTTTATAAAATAAAAATTTAAGCTAAAAATATATATATTATATAAATATAATTATTAAAATACTAAATATAAACTTTATTTATTATTTATAATTATAAAGTATAATATTTATTTAAAAGATCTTTTTTTCTTTTACTTTTAACCTTATAAGAGACTATCTAGCTTTTTAGCTTTTTTATTAATAATATAAATAAAGAGACCTCTATAGCAGGCGATTATAACAGAAGTTAATATTAAATAAGGTTTATCTGCCTTAATAATGTAATTACTGCCTTAACTAAGTAATATAAATACAAGCTATAAGTCTCTTAGTAGCTAGATTAACCTTCTTCCTTTAACCTACCTAAAGGATCCTTAGTTAACCTCTATAATATACTACGCCTAATTTATCCATCGCACTTCTAAAGTATATTACCCGACCTAACTGTTAGTTATATTTGCTAATATTAATTATAGCTACTATTATAATGCCTGCTATTTATAATAGCCTACAGCCTAATTAGGGCTATTATATAACTTACTATAATCTTATTAATATAATTAGATTAGCCCTAAAGTAAGCTATAGGAAGAGATTGCTATATATTATATATAATAGCTATAGCTATTAGGAAGAACTTCTTATTAAAGGGAAAGTCTAGCCTAGTTAAGATAATTATTTTTAATTATAGCCTAATTAAATTACTTAATTATATAAATTTAAATTACTTAAGAAATATAATATCTTTAGCTTAAATTAATTAAAGGCTATTTAAATTAAAAAAGCTAAAAAAAGCTAAAAAAAGCCTTAAAATATAACTAACTTTTAATAATAAAAGAAGTAGCTTTTTTTATTACCTTTATAAGCCTAAACTTAGCCTAATATAAAGAATAGCTTATTAATATAATTATACAGGCAGAATAGGTATTTTATATTCTCTAAATTATATATAAATATATAGACTAGGCTAGTTATAGCCTTAGACTTTAAGAATATAAGGATAGAAAGTCTATAAATAGAGTTAAATAAATGCAGGGTAAAGGCAGGGTTTTATAAAGGAATTATATTAAGTTTACTTTATATAAGTTAGTTAGCAAAAGTTAAATTAACCTTAATTAATTAAATATATATAATAAGGTATATAACTAATTAACCTTATATATAAAAATAGATAAAGTAAAATTAGTAAAAAAGCAGTAGTTTAAATAGGGAATTAAAAGATATATAAATTTTAATAAAACTAGTTTTATATTAAGTATTATAAGGAAAATAAAATTATTATACTTTATATATTTATTATAATATTTATAGCAAGCATTTTAGGGTAAGAGGTTTAAGCTTTATTAATAGGGTTAGATAGATGTTTATAATAATAGATATAAAGGGACAGATTCCCCTAAGGACTTTAGTTTTTTATACTTCTTTTTATATACAGTTTTTACTCTTTTTCCTTTATACTTAATACTATTAAACTAATTATTTAATTCTCTATCTTATAAGAAAGACCCTATTTTAATTAAACCTAACTAGTAGTTTATACTTAGCTGATAATTAAAAAGTATTAGAAGATATTATCTTATATAGTCTTTTCTTTATTATTACTCTTTATCTTTAAAGTATATTAAAGTATTTTATTATTATTTAACTAATTAGGGAATTTATAATTAGGAAGATATATATAATATATTATTATAATAAATAGTTTTTCTTTTTAGACCTTAATAATAAAAGAAAGTATTTTTTATTTAAGCAAGCTTTAAGTATCTTAAGAAGTAGTATTTAAACCCTAATTATACCTTAGATATTATTAATATATAGGTAAGTTATTATAGTAATTATTAAGTAATACTTAATAAAACTAATTAAGAAGATATATTTCTAATACTTTTCTAATATAGCTAATTTAATATATATATTTATAATATAAGCTAGTTATTACCTTTATATATTATTAATTATATATTTTATTAATTAAGCCCTTTTAGAAAGGTTTTAACTAGAGCTCTTAGAAATATATTACCTAATTATTAAATATTGAGTAAAAACAGAGCCGAAGTTGTTATAAAAAATATTACCTTTATTTACAAGAAGAATCTACTGGTGTAAACGCTACTGTAGCTTATAAGATCTGCTATAAAAGATTAACAGAACCTGACGGCCAGGACCAAGCATCGAAAAAAATCAGGACTAACAGTGCCGTTTCCAATTACAACAATAACAACTAAACTAAGTATGCTAATAGATTCCTCTACCATGCTCAGTATTAGATTCTTTTTTACATTATATGCAAATTACTAAACTAACCTAGGCAAAAGTCATTCTATAGCTACCTAAATAACAGGCACCGTATTACTAGATATACCTATAAAACCATACTAGAATGCTTTAATATATATAAGCTTTACCTGTTTTAAGAGCTAGTTATTCCTTATAAAGAGGTATTACTAGTTCTAAAGTCCTAGGTAAAATTATCTAGAGATATTAACCCAAGAAGAACTTTTATCTTAATAATAAAAAAAAAAAAAGTTTTATAAAATATAATTTTTACCTAGCACTACTGCGCAATATAAACAACAGCTTTGGATCTGGAGTTTCTGAGCCGTGTTATGCAAGGATAGTAATATTGAAGGAATAGAATGGCTGGGTTGTAATATTTTTCGGCGTTAAATGCTTCACTAGCCCTTACTTGGTAGCGATCCACACTTCAGCCGAGGCTAAGGTATAACGTAAACTCAAGACTATTGAATACATCCTGCATAAACAAATCCGTTCTCCCATTGCTATCAATTCGCATACTCAATACTAAACCCATGTTCACGCTTATTAGATCCGACACGAATCTCCCACTTCGGTTCACCCTGGAATCCCATACTTAGCTCAAGATCATTATGCTTTCTCCATCCCTTTGATGGATCTCCTACAGCTTGCCACTGAGATATAGGCTTATCCCAGTCACACTCAATGTGACACAAGGTCAACACTCCCGAGCCAAATCTCTTTGGTTCTTCCTCCTGAGCACTGTACAGTATATCAAATGAGCATTTTGGGGGAAAGTCTGCGGAGCGGTAGTAGTGGTGATACGAAAACTGAATAGGCGACTTCTTGTCGATCTTCTCACCCTGCAATGCTGTGAATAAGAAAGTTTCGCACAAACGGACTATGGGGTATAAGTACCTTTGAAATATACCATCTCATTCTACTTGTTACCTCGACCCCTTCGGGGTTTTCGGTGATCACATCTTCAGGCTCAAGATACACATCTTTAATGGGAAAGTCCACTAGAATTCCATAGTGGTATCTCGATCGGCGAGAGACAACGTCTGGCAGTATTGCGAGAGCGGCTTTTTGCACTGCGGACTTGACGGGCTGTGATGAAATGTTCTCTTGGAGCAGCCGGAGAACAGCACCTCGGGCGACGGCAGACCATCTGAGTAGCTTTGGTTAACATACGGATCATATCAAATTGAGATGTCTTACCCATCGCTGGGTCTGAGGACCCTGTTGGAAAAGATTTCGGTCAACACATCGTAAACGTATTCAGAGCTACCCAAGCCGCCAACGAGAAGGATTTTCTTAAATCTTCGAGTTAGTTTAGCCTTCACGAATGCTTTTCTTGGTCTAACCTTGGGCAGTCTTCCAGTTGCCTCTTTGACCTCTTTGCTTTGGTCTCCCACAAGTGTCCGAATGCCAGTGAGAGATTTGTTGAAGAAACCTGTCATTTCCTCTCTGTTGACCATATCAGCATGTTATAATGTCGTTGCAGGAGTATACGAAAACATACTTGCTGATAGTCAAGATCTCCTTATTTCTCAGTCGAGCCAAAGTTCCGTAAGCTTTACTTGGGGGATGAAGGTGGTAGTTCTCTTTGGCGTTAGTAATACTGAAACTTCGTTTTGCGCCGAGCTCCCACTCTCTCAGAATAAACTGGTTGTAGTCATAGTCCTTAAGAGAGCTGATTTTCAGTTTAACCTTGCCACGGAGGTAGGACTCGAACGCTTGGTCGATCTGGAAAGCGCCAGCCAGCTTTCCTATGTCTTCCTATTAGAATAGAGAGAACTCAAATGCTTAGAGTGAGTAATGATCACCAACCTGCTCCTGGAACACATTCTTCTAGCATGAAGGGGCGCTCTGATATGACTTTGTAACTGATAACGTCCTGGCCAATATATTAGCTTAAAATGGGCTTGAGAGTGTGCGACAATGAGGCCATACCACTGTACCACCGCCAGCATCGCAAACAACAAACGACTCATTCTTCTGTCATGGCGGTTAGTGAAAAATCAACTGTATTACCAAGACACGGCAGTGGGTACCTGTATTTCAGGGGAGTCGTTTCGCTGGAACAAAGTCGCCAAAGCAGCTGCCTCGGGCTCTTGCACGAGTATTAGAGTTGTCTCTCCAATGTCTCTATACTTCATAATACCGGCAATCTTAGCAGCCTCCCTCATTGCGCTCTGCGCATAAGCAGGCCAGATGGCCGGAATGGTAATGGCAACGCGAAGGGGGAGATTGTCTATGTCCAGCATTGAACGAAGAGTTGCATAGGTGTGATTCCACACGTTCTTCAGGTAATAGCCGACAACCTGCACCGCAGTGGTGTATCGAGATCTGGCTAGAATCTCGCGGGCCTGTTGAAGTTGAGGCGCATTGCGAATCTCTTCCTTCATGATGTCTTCATTTTTGAGCAGCAGAAGCTTGAACCATTTCATAGGCTTCATATCGGGAGTGATTTCATAGCCCCATTTGCCCGAAGGAATGTCATATAGAGTTGGTACTTGAACCTCATTCTGGTTCCGATGATCTTCTGATGCCCAACCTGTGATGGGATTGACTTCCTTGGGGTTCGTAGATCGAGCCCAACAAACGCCCGAGTAGCTGCAGTATAGAGAATTAGAAACCTGAAGACGTAAGAGCTAGGGTAGGTTATGGATCACTCACGTCGTTCCAAAGTCGATACCAATTGCGACAAACCTTTGCGGACCCTCATCACGATTTGCGTGCTGAGAATGCATTGTGCATCAAACGAAGGAAATGCGGCATCACCTGACTACTGAACTTCAAGAAGACAGAGAAAAGGCTCAAATTCTCAGCAACTGAAACGTTGGCTGAGAAAGGAGCGGGAAGAATATCTGAGAACTGGCCGGCGCATTTGCTTTGAACCTGGGGCTGCTCTGTCTGTTCTTCAGATCAGCCCGAGGCAGCCAAGGCATCAGCCCACCTGCGAACGCCTTGTCAAGTAGTTCACTTCTCCACTCACCCACAACTGAGACCAGGCGTTGAGGCACCTGCGCGGGGTGTGATATTGCATCGCCCGTCTGATCCAGGCCAGCCTAACTATGCAGGCTGCTACTTGGGTGGCGGAGCTTGGAGGGGGAGCAATCCTGTTCACAGCCTGATTTCTTCCAGCATTCCATGCGTTCTTTAAATCATCTCATGCTGAGTTTATGAAAAAGATCGTATCTTTCAGAACAACAAGATTAAAATGGCCGACAAAGACTTGATAGACGATGATGGCAGCGATGGCATTATTTTGGTCATGGGAGTTACTGGTGCTGGGAAGAGCTATTTCCTGAACCAACTCAAAAGCCAATCCGTCGTAGAGGGGCATTCGCTGTATTCAGGTACAAAGTACCCCTCTTTCTACTTCCCTTGGCTCCTAAACTAATTCATTTTGCAGAGACACAGAAATGCCAGGCTGTTCAAATCTTCCTCGATGAGGATGAGAAGCGTAGCATAACCGTCGTTGATACACCGGGTTTTGGTGATACGCTTCGCGGTCAGGCAGAGATCGTGGCCGAAATCACAGACTACCTTGCCGCTCAGCACCTGTCCGGAATGCCTCTTCGTGGGATTTTATATCTGCACAAAATCACAGACAACAAAATGACCGACGCTTCTCAAGGTCACCTCCATCTTCTCAGAAAGATTGTTGGAGATGATGCCTTCACGAACGTTATCTTGGTCACAACCATGTGGAACACTCTCCGCAGAGAAGACCGACAACGCGCTCTACAGCGCGAACAAGAACTTATCGACAACTTCTGGAGTCCCATGATAGACAGAGGGTCTTACGTCGCCCAATTCAACGGCACACCGAAATCGGCCTACCCACTTATTTACCAGCTCGCAGATCAACAGGGCGTGGTACTCGACATGCAGAAAGAAATCCTCGATCAGGATCGGTCAATTTTAGAGACCTCCACAGGTGCGACCTTGGCCCAGAAGCTTGAGGATGACCACGAGGCTTACCAGCTCAAGCTATTCAGCCTCCAAGACGAATTGGATCAGAAACAAAGGGAACAACCACCTGATAAAGTGGAGATCAAGAGGCTGAAACATGAGATCAAGTCGACCGAGAGGGTTCTGGAGGCTATAAGCAATTCAGTGGATCGCATGAAGGTTCGGCCTGGTTCGCCGATGCGAGACCGCATGAAGCTGGCTATGAAAGAGCATGGTGCTACTGCTGTTACAGCTCTCGGAATGGTTCTAAACATTGCATTTTTTGCAGTTCGGATGAGTCTGGGAGGAATGTAGGGTTTGTCCGTTGTAACGGTGAGCGGGGCTTTACGCCTCGCAGCCTTATTACGATATTTGTTGTTGTGCATTACACACTTCTGCAGCAGTTTTCAGCCTGTCAGCTTGAAATTATCAATGGAGTTAGGCGTTATCCATCGAGAAGTTGCCAGTGACAATTTGATGCATGCAAATGTGCGAATATTGGGTGGCGGCTGAGTGGCGCGCGCGGGGTAATGTCATCCGAACACCTGATAGAGGAAACCCATGTTTTCAGCTAAGCCTTGGGCGCTTAGCGGCAGCCATAACTGCGTGATCCTCTAGTGGCTTTTTTCTGACAACCTTTCAAAGGGTTTGCGAATGGTACATGATGCATGGCGATCCGCGACGAAATGTACCAATACTGGGCTGTGTTACACTACTCTATCTGCTTTCAGCTTCCTCTCCGTAAAGCGAAACCGCAAGACTCCGCGGAGATGCCATCCTGGTGAGCCACTGAATCAATGTGGGAGGTACATCGCATAGAATCAGGCTGCGAAGTCCCAGTAAGATCAGGCTAAATTAAAGTATGAAAAACAAGGCTCACAGCTTGACTTTCAGCCCCAGACTCATTTTACAGTTCGTTGAAACTGAGCAAACAAGCAGCTCGTATATGCAGGTGTCAGTGCTTCGTGTGACAGCAGAAAACGCCTTACATTCCCCTAGGAGTTGCGAACCAAATCTATCTCAAAGCCTCCCATGGCCAAATAATCTAGACCCCACCATCTCTGGTCATTTTACAGGGTGTAGAGCGTCATTTCACTAGCGTAGGCGACAGGGCAGTCTTGGCTTTCCAGTTCCAATGTGCCCATTATCCCAAGCAACCGTTGAGTCTGGTTCCCTCTCTCAGTACCTAAACCTACCAAGGTTTCCCCTCCCTCAGAATCCAGGGCGACACGCAAATATTCCCATCAAGGTGCATTAACCTATTGACCATGGGACATTCCAATCAAGCTCAGAAAACATTCAATCAATATCCACCAACGACAAAGAAAGGCCGACCTACTGAGCGTCCTCACAGTCCAGGCTCAGAAAAGCCTCACAGGAGCAGCTCCAGGAGTTCAAGACATTCAACTCGCTCAGCCCGTCACCACAACCGCTACGAGGATATGCGGGAACCAGACAAAAGGGTCAACGATCAGTGGAAAAGAGAAAGCCCCAAAGCCCTCATTCAGCGTGCCATAAACAAGGGCAAATCAGCCTTCAAACAGCAGGCCACCATGGACGTCGTTGAAAAAGACCCTCAAAGCTTCGACAGAGACTCCACTGATTCCATGCAGAACTCAATGGAGCTAGTCCGCTCCAACGGATCTCGAAGGCCCATGAGCCCAATTGGTCAACCAAGCCAACCTGTCACAAAAAACACCATCAATGCACATCCATTCCCTGTTGAACATTATGATCGAGACCAACAGATCATGTATCATATTCATCCCACCGTTCCCAGCCCTTCATTAAAGCTACCAATTGAGGATTCCAACATCAACAAGGGCTATGAACCACAAAGTCCTCAGTTGGAAGAGTCAGAAGAACTAGCACCTGCTCCCCCACCTCATCAAACCCAACCTGTGATACCGCCCAGAGTCGAAAGCAGCTCTGATGCACAGGACAATCTCAAGATCGTTCTCAATCAGCAACAAATCATCGTAGACGATCTGAATTCCCAAAGAGAGGCTCTTTCTCAGCAAGTTCAGGACCTAAAGCAAGAGATTGCTTACTGGAAGAACCGTACCAGCGAGGCCGCTAGTAAGAATGTCAATGTTCTGGCCGGCACACCTCTCAGCCGACCAGAGAGCGAGCTTGTCAAAGAGTGGAAAAACCTGGCATATGAAGTCAAGAACTTCGTGACCAGCCACTTTGACAGAGTCAGCACCAATAAGCTTGACGTCTGGGCAAAGGAAAATGGACAGTGGCTTCAAGGAATAACACCCAGCTATCAACAAGTTATCAAGGATAAAAGGTCAGGCCCTGCTATTATCGAGGCTGCTATCTGGTATACCTTCTGCAGCCTTGTATTTGGGGGCGTTAAGGGCAATCCTCAAATACGATGGGCCGGCCATTATCAGAAGACTCTAAGAAGACTCAGTGAGATCTATAATTCTGTGTGACCGAAGCTAGAGTTAACACGTCTATAGTTAATGAACTCGTCCAAGGTCACACGCAGCAGAATGCGGAACAGTTTGTTCCTCTATTTCATCAGTGGGGTGCTCTGACAGCCAACCTGATAGCCACCATCCAACCTGATGAGCACCATGATCACCAGGTTCATCGTGTGGTCCAAGAGTTCGAAGAGTACTTCTCCTCCTGTCGTTCCAGAGTATTCGGGTCCGACGCTGCATATCGACGGGACTTGCGAGTGCTGATTGAAAAAGCTGTCAAGATAGACTTTAGTCTCTCTGGTCAAACAAGTCAATATCTCATTTACGCACCGCCCTCCGGTCGATGCAACGTAGCGTTTGACGAGACCAGGATGCAACTAGCACCGCGAAGTCCATCATCGTCTAGGAATGTGGAATTCATGCTTCGGCCTTGTCTTTTTCGAGAATGTAGACAAGATGAAAGTTATAATGGATGGGTGATTATTGACAAATGCACTGTTTGGATGTCATAATTTTGTATCGTGATGGAATACTTTGCAGAAGTATAAGAAAGAGACTGAACATTGGATAATAGTTTTAGGTGGAAGTTCGGGTACATGGATAGCGTTTGTTGCCTGATTATATAGATATATGCTTATTCTCATAAAAATCCCAAGGCGCTGCCGTGCTGGAACCTGCCTACTCTGATGGTCTATGCTGCTGGACCCTTCATTGGCGTCTCCAAGAAGTGGTCGTCTGCCAACCTCAGCACCCCCTTCAAGGTTGATAACACGAGGAGTATTCGGGAGCTTGGGCTCAAGTATCGCCCAATTGAGGAAAGCTTCCAGGCGTATTATGAGTCCTGGGAACAGGAGCAGGAGCAGAAGCAGGCGAAAGTTTGATTGGCATGTGAATGATACGACGCTGTCTGTTCTGTCCCAAGTATGTCGTTTTATTCTAGTAATATCTATTTAGCTATAGTGCTTGTAATTTCCTTCTGGATCATGCGTTCTCAGTGCGTAGTTGTAATTATATTAAATTGCTATGCAGCTAAAGAGCGCATCTAGCAATACTATCTGGAATGTTTTGCGTAGTGTGTTTGCTTTTATCCTGTTGTGCACTTCCAACTAAATAAGAAATGTAAAAGTCGCTCATCCAGCCATATCTATCCAGGTTCTGAGTGTTCTCATGATCCATAAATGTCTGACCGTATGTCTTGAGAATGTAATGCCTGGGCCGATACTGCGTGTTGGGCTGTAAGGTGTATTGCATTGAAGTGCTTCTGAGGCATGGCATTTACGGCCAATCTAGCGTTCCAACCATGAGAAATGAAGCCAAATGTATGCCTTGATGACTAAATCTGTGTTTCTATGTCCTTCCCCGTATTGCAACCTCCGATGGACCGACATGCATTGGGCATTCACGAGACCTTTAGCAAAGACGGCAGCAAATGAAGTAGCAAATCCGTAGTCCACTAATTAGAAGCATGATTAAGTTTTCTAGTTCGGCTAGAGCCGATCAGGGTAGGCTTAAGTTAGTGGCGTGACGATCAGACTTGCACGTCGGCATTCGAATTGTCCCGATGACTGATAGTGGAGCTTCTAGCTGAGCCTCCCTTTCACTCAGGTAAGGTATGTGCAAGCACCAAGCCTTTCGGCTACAATACATCCGCCTTTTACTAAGCTTTTTTACAACATCACGGACCGCCCGATTTTAACTTCTCCAGGTTGTCTACACAAGATGAGGGTCTTAACTCCAGCTTGTCGAAGTTTATTCTAATGATACCACGTCGAGATTCATGGCATACCTATGCTTAAACGGCCCTTGTTTCGGCTGTTGTTCCTCATTCGCTTTGAAGCACAACTCACGAAGATTAGGCAGATGAACGGACGTGGCATCTCAGTAAGTGCCAGAAGACGAGATGACAAGGTGTTCGATTCTAAAACGGATATATAAGAGAGAAAGGTCTTGTCTGCTCTAATGCCGTATCCTCATCCACTCTACGATTCTCACAATCACAGTCACATCTCAACACGATTCCTACCAATTTCACTTCACTTTCATTGGTTTCATCATGGTTCCTACTTGGCTGAAGAATTTCGTCCTTTCTGGAGCCCTGCTACAGAGTGCCTTTGCTCTCGATCTCCCCAAGTAACGCGGCTTGAAGACATCTCAGAATGGTAACGTTCTCGAGGTAACTTTTCACAACCCAGACTCGGCTATAAACCTCTGGGGTGTCGACTTCCAGGATGGAATAACTGATCTCGTTCGAAGACTTGGTAATGATAACGAGACCAAGGTCGTCGTCTTCAAGAGCGATGTTCCCAAGTTCTTCTGTGCCCACTTGGACCTTCTGATGCCTGGAGTTGGTAAGTACTAAGCTTTCATTCGTCCACTTGTGACAGGACTCTTTGCTAATGTTGAGCCACAGCAACCGTTGGGCCAAAGTTTGCCAGGCTCATGTATGAAATCTCCGATCTGCCCCAGGTGACCATCGGCGCCGTTGAAGGACGCGCTCGTGGCGGCGGTAACGAGTTTTTGTTGGCCCTCGACATGCGTTTCGCCTCTGAACCCGAGTCATTCTTTGGTCAGATCGAGGTCGGCACCGGTCTCATCCCTGGCGGCGGCGGTAGCCAGCACCTCCCTCGTCTTATCGGCCGAGGTCTCGCGCTCGAGTATCTTCTCAGCGGAAACGATATCAACGCCAAGTATGCAGAGCGAATCGGATGGATTAATAAGGCTTTTTGCTCGTCTGAGGAGATGTACGAGTATATTGACGGTCTTACCTCGCGCTTGCGTCTGTTTCCTCTACTGGCCATGGCTGCCATTAAGAAGGCGGTCAACGCTCGGTCTAGTCCTACTTTGCAGGATCTGCTGCGCGACGCTGCGTCCTTTACCTCTCGTTTGACGGATCCAGCTATGCCAGGTTTGATCAGAAGGGCCTTGGCTGTCACCAACAATCTCACTCTTGGCGATGCTGAGCTCAACCTTGGCCGAGATCTTCCCGTTGTGTATGAGTAGAGTCACGTCATCATAACAAACGAACAGCGCAATACCTCACCCTAGAGATTGCTTCGCTCCACTGTTTGGCAGGAAGTCTCGTGACATAGGATTGTATTGTCGTTTGTTCTCAGGTTGGCACCACATTAGATTTCGGAATATGGAGCTAGAGAGGAAAGTAGGCACTTTTAGTGATTAACGCCGATGTCATCCAAATCAAAGATCACATATATTTTTTTATTTTTGTACTCTTATCTTGGTATATAGCTTTTTATTCATGATATGGAAACATAGCTGCGTTTATTCATCTGCGTTTGCAATGTACACTTTTAATTTCACATTCCCTCCATCTCCCAACGTCTTACAGGAACATCTTATCATCTTTGTTGGCAGCCTAAGATTTAACCTTGGTGCCAGCATGTTCATCTATAGATTAGATAGTCCCCACAAACGCGCGCGATACTGTGCCACTAGAAGTGCTACTAGAAGACACTAGCCTTACCTACACAACGTTTTTACCTGCTTGACCCTGGCTATAGTTAAATCGCCAATGCATGGAACCTCCAGAGTGTAGAGGCACTGTCATATGGCAGTGGCAGACATGACCAATCATACGAAGCTCATGGTGCCTAGAGTGCTCAAGTCCGCGAATTTAGGGAGCTCGGGGTGATTATGCAATGTCGGCAACAGAATGGCCCGAGGGCCCCACGGCTTGTTACTGATGGCACCGGTGGATTACACCACTTTTACTGACAAGAGACTTTCCTACTCGTACCATGCAGCCATAATAAAAGAGTCTTTGTCCAACTCATCGAGTATTCGTATCTTAGCATTGTGCCACGTTACAGGCAAACGACATAACAATTACCATCGCAACGTACCATCCTGACTTCAGTCTTCGAACATCGTCTACGACTTTGGCGCTATGTCTCCGCAGCTGCTTGTTGTAAGTGCTTCATGGTTTCAGCATACTCGTCTCCCAAATGTTGACTGGTTATTTGTCTGCGATAGATCACCGGTGTCTCAGGGCATGTGGGCTTCCGTGTGCTTGTTGAAGCTATCAGCAGAGGGTACAATGCACGAGCGGTGATCCGCAATGCATCACAGACCGATCAAATCAAGGCCACCGATTCAGTGAAGCCGTACTTGACCCAGGTTGAGTTCGCAGTAGTCCCAGACCTGCTCGTTCCAGGTGCCTTCAATGGCGTACTTGACGGCGCGGACGGTGTAGTCCACGCTGCCTCTCCACTTCCTTCAGCAGTGAGTTCTTTTCCCTTCCTTACTGGTAACAAGATTTGCCCGCTACAATCGCTAATCAGAATACTCCCCATCATAGAGCCAGGAATTTAAGCGCGTCCTGATTGAACCAGCCGTTAACGCAACCTTGGGCATTCTCAAGGCGGCAAAGAAGGTCTCGAAAATCAAGAGAGTTGTTATTACCTCTTCGATCGCTTCTCTTATAACCTGGGACTACCTTGTATCATCTGATATCACGAGAGTGTTCACTGGTATGTGGGAGAGATAAATTCCTAAATATGCGCATCATAGCTTGCTAACACGATTTGATTCTTATAGTGCGAGACACTTACACCCCAACCAACCTTAACAGTCCCTTCGCAAACGCCATGGACGCTTACGGTGTCTCAAAGGCAGCAGCCCTTGCCACCACGGAGCGCTTTATGCAGGAAGAGAAGCCGCACTTTGAAGTTGTCAGCATTCTACCCAGCATGGTGATCGGAAAAAACGAGCTGAACCGCACGACCGAGGATATCGGTAAAGGCAGCAACGGCACCACCCTTGGCGTTCTGCTAAACAACAGGAGCGAAACCCCAAGTCTCGGTGTGTCCGTCCACGTAAACGACGTGGCAAGAGCACATATCGACGCGCTGGACCCTGCGATCCAGGGCAATCGCAACTACCTCTGCTCTTCGGGCGGAGTCGAGGGCACCACCTGGGAGAACGCCAAGGATATCGTCAGACGGAACTTCCCCAAGGCCGTGGCTGACGGCATTTCCCCCCTTGAGGGGAGCCAGCCTTCGCGGCCTATTCGCCTAGACTCGTCTGATACGGAAGAAGTCTTTGGGTGGAAGTTTGCAAGCTTTGAGGAGCAGGTGAAGAGCGTTGCGGAGCATTATCTGGAACTTTTGGTGGCGAAGTAGGGTACGCCCATCGGCCAGGACGATCAACAGTGAAGAAGAGGCCAAGTCTCCTTGCTATATCCCGGGTAACTTAGATATCAATATTTTGATAATACAATGATAACAGGATATGCTGACAACAACGTGTTCTTTGGTGAAGGTCTATTAAAATTCGGTCTGTGGCATTCCCCCTCTCCCTTGTCGACTGACTACATATCGATATGATTGCCAAGCATGCTAACTGCCGTTTCGCTTGAGCGCCCTCGATTGGATTTGTCAGATCGCATCGGACTTATCGGATCCACTCCGTGGCGAATTCTAGACCTGACCGCATCCAGTCTAGTTCAAGTTTAAACCAAAACTTTACGAATCTGTCCAATTTCTAAGCATTCAACTCAACTCAACCTCACATTGAGCTATAATGTCATCACCTTGTCTGAACTCTACTGTGCTTCGTTCGCCAAGTCCGAGATTGACTTAGTTACTGATCTTAGTCACATAAGATAATGCAGGAACCCCATATGCAAGAGGACACGCTGGTCAACGATGATCAACTTGCGGTATGTCTAGCACCTCGTGGTATTGTCACACCGGAAAGCCCCTAGGCTAACATGGCTACTGCAGAATCGGCGAGCGCGTGGAAGACGGGCTCCGCAGGAGTTCCGCCAGAGACAGATTGACACCATCAACGAGCTCCAGGCCAGCAAAGAGTCCATGCAGGCCGCCATCGCCTCAATAGCGCGCGCTGCGGCTCAGCAGGACAGCGCTGGAATGTCTGCAGCAGTGCGCGACGCGTGTCGACTCGCTGGGGTCGAAATACCCCAAGAGCCAGGCTTGTCCCGTGTAGACTCCCCGAGTTATGCTGTCCGTGATGAGCCCCCGGCGCAGGAAACTAGGCGTTGAGAAATCTCATCATCAATCGGGAAGAATGTCGCCAACACTCGGCTATGGCCTCTGGTTCGGCCCCGAGACTTCCATCCCAATCGAGTATCCGCCCATGGACATTGTTCCATATCTCCAAGACGGCTCTTCGCTCGCCATCACTGTGTTCTGGACCAGCCTCTCCTGGGGCTTCCAAATACTCGGCGCCGCGCTCGGAGGCAACGTTGAGGCGGTGGCTACAGCCCAAAACATATTCAGTGCTATTATCTCCACCAGTCCTGGCCGAGATGTCTTGAACGGCATCCACGCCCGCCTGATATATCGCAAGACGGGGACGATTGATCGAGACCATCCCGGCAACAAGCCAGAGCAGGCCCCAGGGATGTTGGTAGCCATGGCCAGGTTATGCGAAAACAACGGCACCCCATTAGAGACTTTCCTAACGCCCATTGCGATGGAGGATCTGCTGAGGAACAGGCTAGGTCCTGCTTACGATGTGATTGATCGGGCCGTGCGCGGGTATGGATCGCTAGAGGAAAGGGCTGGTTCAGATGATGACTAGAAGTAGTATATGTCTCGGGGACGGGCCACGGTGGCCAACTGAGAAGGCGGAGGACGTGGTTACGTATTGGGCTCATAGCGCCGGTGTACATGTATGTTGATAAGTAATAGTAGATTTAAATAGGGTCAGTATTTATTAATTAAAATAGTATTAATATTTATAATCTATCATTCAACGAAAGGCTTATGTCCAATACCAGGTTTGGGTTAAATCCCAGACTTTAATAAAGAGTTAGAGTTAAAGTCAAGATTTTGTTCTTTAACAGTATTACTCTCTTGATATTAACATGCCTCCGTTATCAGCACCATAAGCACCAAGTTAGCTTCAATCTCAAGGAGCCAATAAGTAGGAACTTCTTCAATAAGAAATCATTAGATGTTTGGAGCTGCGGAGCTAGTGTCTACCCCTCGTTCTTGGCAAGGAAAGCTGTCAGCTGAGTAATTATCCGTCGGGTAGATTATTTCCCAAAACTAAGGACCCTGAAGGAAATAACCCAATTGGACAAGTCGACTACCAGTATTGAGGGGGATTTAGTCTAACCCCAGATGCAGTTCGCCGTCCAAGCTTCTCTGTTCCCCATGGGGTAGCCTAGCTCAAGATCTACATATCAAGTGGATATAAATAATTCAAGCTCCTCCGTACTGCAGTTCTTCCCAGTATCAACACAGCCGGCCTTTTGGTTCTGTATCTTATTGCCTTCCCAAGACACCTTCCAATTTGAACTACAACCCCAACTCTCAATATGGGTGTTCGAACGTTTTTCAAGAAGAGGTCACTCAAAGTATCTGACGACAGTGTGACTAAAGCCGCGGACCTTAGCTTACGCGAGTCTATCTGGCCCATTGCACTTGTTACGGTCTTGTTCTTCCTCTGGGGCTTTAGCTATGGCCTCTTGGACACTCTGAACAAGCATTTTCAGGTGACTTTGCATATCGATAGAGCCAGGTCTGCTGGACTGCAAGCTGCCTACTTTGGGTTCGTCTCATCATCATCCATGGCTGCCCTATGCCTTTTTGTATCTAACCGTCATGCTCCGATAGTGCCTACCCGCTTGCTTCTCTTGGCCATGCCGCGTGGATTTTACGACACTATTCTTACAAGGCCGTTTTCATCTGGGGACTAAGTCTCTATGCTATTGGCGCCCTGATTGCCATTCCCTGTATTAAAGCAAAATCTTTTGGAGGTTTTTGTGCAGCGATTTTCATTATTGGTAATGGTTTAGGGTCTCTTGAGACTGCCGCCAACCCGTTCATCACTGGTAGGCCTCTCCGGTGACTCTCATGCATCCCTGTCATCTGACTCGAAGTAGTCTGCGGCCCTCCCAAGTATGCGGAAATGCGGATCAACATGTCGCAAGCTTTCAACGGCATCGGCTCAGTCGTTGCACCCGTTCTAGGCTCTTATGTCTTCTTCAACTTTGACGACCAGAAGGCATTGGCAAACGTGCAGTGGGTGTATCTGTCTATCGCGGTATTCGTCTTACTTCTCGCCACCTTGTTCCTCTTCTCGAACATCCCTGAGATTACTGATGCTGGTACGTATCAACAAACCCAGAGATCCGCGAGTGTTTCTATTCTGACACAGTCATCTCAAATACAGATATGGCCCAACAAGCCGAGTCCTCCAACTCGGATACTCACGAGAAGCCATTGAGCAAGCAATACCGACTCTTTCATGCCTCCTTCGCACAGTTCTGCTACTGCGGAGCTCAAGTGGCTATTGCAAGTATGTTCATCAACTATGCAACCGAAACAAGAAAGAACACTAGCGATTCCACCGGCTCCAAACTCTTTGCCGGTGCACAGGCTGCATTTGCTGTTGGTCGCTTCTTTGGCGTCTTCCTTATGAAGTATTTCAAGCCTCGTCATATCTTCCTTGCCTTCTTGAGTATGTGTGTGATTTTCATCTGCCCAGCGATTACAGAGAGAGGAAATACAGGCATTGCCATGCTCTATGTGGTACTGTTCTTTGAGTCCATCTGCTTCCCAACCATTGTGGCTCTTGGCATGAGAGGCCTTGGCCGACACACAAAACGTGGCAGCGGGTTTATCATCGGAGGAGTCATTGGTGGTGCTTGCGTTCCCCCACTCACGGGCGTTGCAGCAGACAGACACGGCACAGGAATGGCGATGGTCGTTCCTCTAGCATTCTTTGTGGCTGCTTGGAGTTTTCCGTTCTGCGTCAATGTTCTCCCTAGCTACAAGAAGGGTATTGACGCCTTTGAGAACACTGAGAACGAACCATCCAGTGTTGCCGAGTGGGGAGAGAAGGGCAGCCCGGAAGAGCAACGCTGTGAGACAGTGGTTGGGGAGATCAAATCCTGATGGACTTCAGAATCTGAGGGTACAGACGTGGTGTCTGAGGTGAAGTGAGCTTATTCGATTCTTTGTGGTCCTGAGATTGCCTCCTGGTATCAATTAGACAACTTCAAGATTCGCTTTGGAGTCTTTCAATAAGCTCAAGTGGCTGTCTTTTGGTTGAGACTCTGTTTGTGTTCACCACACGGTAACCCGAAGGATCTAGTGAAGGTGCTTGTACATGTAGGTATACTGTTTTTTAGTCGTTCAACTTGCTTCTTGACCTTGAGCAAGGCTTCATGAGAGACCCAACTAATGACGGTACCAAATAACGGCCGTAATAACCGGATACTTTGAAGAGTTAGCTTATTGATATTATTATATGCAAGGTTATCGTAAAGGCTCTGCAGCTAATTATCTAGAGCTCGCTTAATATGCCTCTAACACTTAAAGAGATTAGCTTAGTTATAATATACGTATCTCTTAAGAAGATTATATATCCCTTCTACAGGTAATATTATTATCTAACTAAAGTAAAAGTTATTCCTTACCTAAGCCCCGTAAGATTCCGAGTTTAACCACAAAACTAGTGCCTTTAACAGTTTATAAAAGTTAAGTACCCTCAACCATAGTAGCTCTCAGGTTATGCTCATTCTTGTCATCCAAGCGCTCGTCCATATGTATGCCCACAAAGATGTCGCAGAATACCTCACTTATTTCCTCAAGGGACTTTCCCTTAGTTTCAGGTAAAAAGAAAAAGATCAGGGCGAACGTGAGTAGGTTCATAGCAATGGAGAAGAAGTAGTAGCGCCATCCGACATTAGCGAGAGCTGTTGGAGAGGCTTGTGCGAGGACGACCTGAATGACAAACGACCAGAATGTAGAAATGGCTCCTCCGGTAACGCGAATCTGAGTAGGAAAGATCTCAGCGGTGTATACTGGGCAACCGGAATTCCAAGATAATGAAAAAAGAATGCCGAAAAGAATGAGGAAGAAAATACCGACACCGTTCGCCACTTGGTTGTCGCTACCGCCGTATACCGCAACTAGTGCTAGGACGATGGCGATATCTACCGTCATAGCGAGGGACCCGGCCATAAACAAAGTGCGACGTTGTACACGATCGATGATCCACAACAAACAGAAGATATTGGCCAAAGGACCTGTGAGGTCCCAAACTCCAGCAAGTAGAAGGACGATATGGCCCTTGATACCCAAAGACTTATACATGATGGTCTGGTAGTAGTTGATAGCAGAGATGCCACAGATTTGCTGCCCGATCTGGACTCCGCAGCCCAGAAGAAGGCGTTTGCGATACGAAGGTTTGGATACCATGACCTTCAAGGTAGCTTCCTCGTTTTCGCGTTCCCATTGGATCTGGTCGCGCATTTGATGAAGCTCTCTCTCAACTCCGGCATCATGATGGGTCCGAAGCCGCTTGAGAACTGACTCGGCTTCTTCCAACTTTCCGCGTTCAATCAGATATCGTGGAGATTCTGGAATAGTGAAAGATAAGCCCAGTAGCAATATGGCCAAAAAATACTTAAAGGCCGACAGGGAAACGATACTATTGGACAACATAGTCAGCACCCAAATGCTCTCAGTTTAGAGGAAGTGCGAAAATGACTCCTTACAGCAAATTGCCCGGTGGTGTACGAAACTCCAAATCCAATCCAGTTCGAGGTCATGTATCCGAGTCCAACAAACTGAGAATGCAGGCCTGTGAAAAGACCACGCCGACTGTAAGGAGCAATCTCAGAAAGGAACATGGGGGTGGCAAAATAGATCAGACCAGTAGCGAGTCCGTCGATGAGACGACCGAATATAAGCATAACTGTCTCCACGGCGGCTGTCTGCAAAGTAGTACCGATAGCAGCAATGATAGCACCGATCCGAATCGAATAGCACCAAGACGGCCGAAACGGTTGCCGACTGGGCCGGAAAGCAAAGCACCGACAGCACCGCCAGCGGCATAAATTGAGACAATGCCGCCCAACATGGAAGGCGAAGGATGGAACTTCTCTTCAAAGTATGATTGAGCAAGAGCCGTTCCATAAATACCCGAATCATAGCCCCAAAGTAGGGAGCCAACTCCGACAACAAAGGCTGAGGTGAATTTATATTAGCATCACCGCAAAGGCTGCGCTTGGAAAGGGGTGTCAACATACCACACCAGTAACCGTAGCCCTATGCTTTAGAGTGAGCCATGACTTGATTACTCATATTAACAATCTTTCAGTAGATTCAGTAGAAGAAAGTTAGAAATGGTTAATGAGATATAAATCGATGCTTAGTTAGGGGAATGAAATCTTTATAAGATTTTTAACAACTGCGAACAAAGAGGGCCTAGAACAAACTTAATTACTCGTGTCGACTCATCCCCGTAGGGTTTCTTTTCGGGTAACTAGGCAAGAGACAATGCTTTATTACCCGTCGGACATTTTCCATCATGGCTTCACATGCTGGGTCGATTGTCTTTGCTGCGAATTAGTGCTTATTTTGTAAGCCTAAACAAACAAATCAGGTCAGCTGGGCTGAACGCGGGGTAGAGTTAGGGCGTAATTTAGGGGGAGAATGTAGGGTACAGAGGAACCGAAGAAAGCATGGGAACTAAAGTTTAGTCACTCTAGGCTTAAAGTAGTTACCCCAGCTGACTTGGCAACATGGGTATTATCCGTGATTAAAGCTTTTCATTGGCTGTTGTAAACAGCTAACAAAGTCGGCTTTTTCGATTTTCATAACCTATGAACACGTCGTGCTCAGGACCGCCGTTTGTGAATGTGGCGTCTTCACCTCACTAAGAGAAGCGGTCAAAGTGCGCATTCTGTAGTAAATAGTGACTGAGAAGGAAAAGGATAGGTCTGGTGAACAGGCTTGTCGTTGTGACAAAGAGCGTTGACTATAGGCTAAATAGACAAACACCATATCCATCTTTATTAGGCATATTAATTATTATTAATGTATATAAAAATTATAGTCTTATAAGCATATTACAGTGCCTAGCAGAAATAGAGGGTTACTTTATAATTTTAGACCTGGTTTTTTTATACTATTACTGTAATAAGATAAGATATTATATTAACTTTTCGACGAATTGCTATTTTCAGGTTAATTACTAAGCTACTACTCCTGGGGCCATCCATACCCGCACGGGTACCCGTGCAAATAAGATATCATCATATCAGCAACCCTAATTGTTTAAAAATGCCTTATATAAGCAAATTAAAGCCAATTAACTGCTTAAGATCCTATTTTTTATATATCCTAAATCTAGTTATCTTTATTAACCTAATTCTCTATTAATTAGTACTTTACTTACTTTATTTATAATAAATTAAGCTCTTAAAGTCTTTCTTAATAATACTCTCCTCCTAGAAGCTATTTTTAGCTTATAAAGTAAGCTACTTATAGTAATTAATAAATAGGTAAGTATATATAGTTATGCCTTTATTATATAGAGATCTTTAAAGGTAAAGACTCTTAGTTAAGCTTTTATAATTACCTATATATATAATTATAAAAAAAGGCCTAGGTTTAATTAGGTAAGTAAGAGGAAGACTTTATTATATTATATAGCCTGCCTCTTTTTAATTAATATTATAAAGAGCAGTTATAAGACTTAATAAGTAGTTAAGTATTACTATAACTCTTATACTTATATATATAACTATAAGCCAAGCTATAGGCTAAGGGCATATCTAGTTTATTATTAAATTATAAGTAATTAAGAGTAGACTATATAGCTACTTATAAAAGCTAGTATAAAGCCTAAAGAGATATAAATATTTATTAGGCTTTTAGATAAATTCTACCTTATAATATAATAGGATATTTATAATACTATTATATAAAGTAAATAAGACCTTATTAAAGGCTAAAGCTTAATATATACCCTTATTAATAAGCTTATTAATTTAGGCTTTAAAAGCCATTTCTGCCTTAATTAAGATAATAAGGTTATTATAGTATTCTTTATTAATACAGACTCTCTTATATATATTAAGTCTTATCTAGAAGTTATAATACTTAACTATATATATAAAATAAATAAGTATAAAATACCTTTTCTTAATATTATTAGTATTAATATTTATAAAAAGAGCTTTTATATTATATTTATATTTATAAGTAATAAAAAAGAAGTAAACTATTTTTAAGTTCTCTCTTACCTCTAAGAGGTATATAAAGCATAAGGAATAGCTCTTCCTTTTATAAAACTTATAAATTAATATCTTACTTATATAAATATAATTATAAATATAGCTGCCTTCCTTAAGTTAATATATTTACTTTATATCTTTTATATTAACTATACTATCTTAACCTATTATTAACTTAAGTTTATAAAAGGCTTAAATAACCCTAAGGGCATAGTAAATAGCTTAAGTTTTAAAAGAGCTTTAATTAAATTATAAGCTTAAAGATTTAGGCTATTTATAAGAAATAACTAAAAAAGTTTAAAGATACTTATGCCTTAAGCTATTATAATAAAGTAAGTTATATTATAATTACTTAGCTTAATTTATATAAAGAGAAATTTATAAAGGCTTAAATAAGAAATACCTTTTACTTTAATTATATAATAATATTACTAATAAAGGGAATATATAATCTTATTAAGAAATACTTAAATAATAACTAAGCTAATTTCTTTAAGTATTAGTAGTATATTAAATAACTTATAGATAATTAGCTATAAAGCCTTTATAATAGCCTTATTTATAATAATATTAATAAGCCTATTATTTAAAGTATCTAGTTATTATAACCTTTATTTAGTATTATTATTAGTTAGGTCTCTTATAAGGCTTTACTTAAGGTTAAAAAGCAAGCTAAATGCCTAAAAGCTTATATACTTATATATATATAAGTATTTAATAATTCCTTTAATTTACTATATATTTATATCCTTAAGCCTTTACTAAAAGATAGTCTTTATCTCTAACTATCTTACTTTTACTTTTATTAGTATTTATAATGCCTAAAAGCCCCCTTACTTCTTATTAAGCCTTAAAGGGTATTTAATTACCTTACTAATAGATTAGTATTACTGCTAATAAGTATATAGCAAAAACCTTATATATTTAAAGAGGTTTAAAAGGCCTTATAGCTAAAGGTATAACTATAATACTCTATATACTAACAAATTGGCTATTAAAGAAGCTCTAAGATATACCCTCTTTATTATAGTAATATATTACCTACTCCTTATTAAGTCCTTTTAGTATTATAACTAATAGCTAAGCCTTATATAAATCCTTAATTACAGTTAGTTATAGCCTAACTTATTATTATTATAGTAATTAAGATAAAAATATATATAATAATATATATAAAAACTATTACTTTTATATTAATTATAATGCCCTCTCTAAGTGCCTCTTATTTAGGTACCTCTCCTTAAGCTTCCCTTTAAACTACAAGCATTATAATAGCTATACCTAAAGTATATAATAATATTCTTATTATCTATAGATAATATATATTAAACTGTAATAAATAGTATTTATAATAGCCTTAATATTATTATATTAATAAGCTATATTAAAAGGCTATAAAGCTTTTTTTAAAATACTTAAAGGCAAATTATAAATAGGCCTATAACTTAAGTTAAATAAGTAGTTATATAAGAGCTTTAAATAATAAGAAGCTTTAGGATTAGATTAAAGAGGAGATAAATATATATATTAACTTCTTAAATTAGGAAGAGGAGTAAGTATATTATATAATTACTAGTTAGGCTTAATATACTAGTATTATAATCCTTGCAGTTATGTTATGTAAAACTTATAAAATTCCCCTAATTAATTAACGACTTATACTTTCTCCTTATTTCTATTATAAGCCGCTTAATAAGACTTATAATTAGACTTACAGCTTATATATAAATACTAACTTACTATAGCAAGTTACTATAAGTATATAAAACATATTTATTAGCACTTTTATAAATTCTAGCTTACTAGCTATTAATAAAACTTCTTTATATTAATTAAGCCTAATATATATTAAATTTACTATTAAGAAATATAATACTTTAATAACGCTTAGTATATGCCTTATACTATTTACTAATAATAAACCTAGTATAGCTTAGTTTAATATAGTTAGACCTAACTATTATATATTAATAGCTCTTATTTAGACTATACTATATAATACTAAGCAATATAAACACAATATCTACTAATATTAACCCTATCTAATAGCAGAATATAACTGCCTATCCTTAGGGCCAGTAACCTATAGCACCTGCTAATCCTATACCTATTAACTAGGAAATAAATAAAGTAAATAACTCTTCCTAAAGTTCAAATAACTTAGAAGTTAAATAACTTTATAAGTAACTTAAGAATATTATTAATAAAATAAATAAAATATGCCAGATATTAGAAGAATTTACTGCTTTATAGTAATAATAAAGTTAGAGTAATAATAATACCTAATAGGAAATATATAACCTGGCCTTAGCAGCTAATAATAAGAAAGACCTAAGAGAAGTCCTTAAGCCTAACCTGCCTAAGCCCTTTAATAGTAC